CAGTTTCACTGGAGGGTGCCCAGTTGCACACAGGGTGCCCCAGTTTCTCTGGAGGGTGCCCAGTTACACACAGGGTACCCCAGTTTGACTGGAGGGTGCCCAGTTAAACACAGGGTGCCCCAGTTTCACTGGAGGTTGCCCAGTTGCAACTGTTGTAAGTTCCTGTGTGACTGGGCTAACTGACATTGTTTAGGTTCATGTCACCAGTTGGCCACAACATCCTGTTGTGTTAGTTTTGAACCCAGTTGATTTCAGTTTGAGTTGAAAAGTTAGCACTGTCGGCTACTGGGGCATCATCTGGAAAACTGCCCGGTCATTACCAGCTGCTCCATCAATGACCATTCCTCCATCATAATGTCAGGAGTTGGGGATGTTCATTGATAATTACACAATGTTCAGCACCATTCACGACTCCTCTCAAAGCAGTCTATGTTCATATGCAGAAAGGGCTGGACAACATTCAGGTTTGGGCTAATAGGTGGTAAGCAACATTGTACCAGACAATGGTCATTTCCAACAAGGGAGAATCTAACTATCTCCACTTCATGTTCAATGATATGACCAGTGTTGAATCCTCTGCTATCAACATCCTGGGGATTACCATTGAATGGAACTGGACTAGCCACATGAATATGTAGCTACAAGAGCAGATCAGAGGCTAGGATTTCTGTGATGAGTAGCTCTCCTCCTGTTCACCATCTGCAAGTTACAAGTCCATAGTGTGATGGAATACTCTCTACTTACCTGGATGAGTGCAGCCCCAACAATACTCAAAGCTCAACACCAGTCAGGACAAAGCAGCCCAACTGATTGGCACCCCATCCACCACCTTCGATAATCACTGTTTGCACCACTGATGCTCAGTAGCAGCAGTGCATGCTATCTGCAAGATGCACTGCAACACTCAAGGTTCCTTAGAGAGTACCTTTCAAACCAATGACCTATACCATCTAGAAGGACAAGAGCAGCAGATGTATGTGAACACAACCTGTAAGTTCTCCTTCAGGCCAGGCGCTATCCTAACATTTTCTTAGTCTTCCATGGATGTGGATGTCACTGGCCGGTCTGTGTTGCCACCCCCTGGTTGCCCTTGAGAAATTGGTGCTGAGCTGCCTCTTTGAACAGCCACAGTCCATTTGCTGAAGGTGGACCCACAATATTATTAGGGAGTGATTTCCAGGACTTTGACATATAATCATCATTCCTTCACTGTTGCTGGGTCAAAATCCTGGGGTGCCCTCCCGAACAACACTGTGGGTGTACCTGCACCACATGAACTGCAACAGATTTAAAAAGGCAGCTCGCCACCAATTCTCATGTCCAATTAGGGATGAGCAATAAATGCTGATTTAGTCAGTACTGTCCAAATTCAGAGAATGAAAAAAAGCTGGTGTTCCCACATGCACCATTTGCTAAAATGATTACTGAATACTCTGCTTCTCGCAAGATTCCCAATTGAACTTTGCTGGTTGAAAATTGCCTTTTTTAAGTGTGGTATTCATACCCATTTTAAGAAGCTAGAAACAGGCCACTCTTTATATTGACCACTTTTGGAGATGAATGGATTACCATCTTAAGTCCTGAACAAGATTGGTTTGCTATAGTGTAGATGTGGACAGAGGCATCCAACAAAATAAGTTTGTTCTAAATCAAGTAAACCTGAAAGAACTGTATAGATAAATGGCTATGATTCAATGTTACAAGGTTTGGGACATGAATCAGGTGAATCAGTGGAATCATGAGACAGTCACAGCAGGTTTTGTTTAGTGTGGGTTTGGACATAGGGGTTGCTTTTATTTTCTGGAGTTTTGTTTTTATGATCTTGGTAGGGGTGGTAAAGTAGAAATTTCAGTTTTCCTTCCTTGTAATTTACCTGTGTTTGGTCTCCAGACTCAGGATATTAAGCAGGCTTTGGATACAGTTCATGCCACCTTTCAGTTAACTTTTCATCATTTTTTTGTTTGAAAAAGACTTTTTAGGGGTAAAGTTTGTTTAAAAGTTATGCTTTAGAACAACTTGCATTTACAGTATCTATGACACTTTTTAATGTGGATAAGATGCTTCAAAGCAGTGTAAAATGATCAAAATTTGTCAACAAGCCGCACAAGGTTCAAGGGGGAAAATATAGTTAAAAGGTGTTTTTTCAAATTTAAATTAATGTAACATTCAGAACAAAATAAATGAATTAACAGCACAAATTGAGGTTAATATGCATGAAATTATAGCCATTGTGCAGCTTTAATTCCAAGGAGGTCAAAATGGGAGCTAAATATTGAAAGTTATGTAACTTTTTTGAATAATAGGCAGGAAAGAAAGTGAAGGAGTAGCTTTGTTAGTAGAACCTGGAATAAGTTTAATAGCAAAATATTGGATCTGATGATATAGAATCTGTAGTGGTGGAGCTAAGAAATAATAAGGGGATGTCTAGCAGTAGTGTATAGTCCCCCTCATGGTAACTAATCTGTAGATCAGAGAATGAATCAAGCAATCATGCAGACACATTAAAAAAAGGCAGTGCATTAATCATGGGTGACTCTAATCTTCATATAGGTTGGGAAAATGTAGACAGGATGAATTTATGTGTGTTTGAGACAGTTTCCGAGAACAATATGTTGTGGATTTGACCAGGGAATCAAGCAATTTTGGATCCAGTAATCTGTAATCGGATTGGTTTAGTAAATGAATGTTATAGAAAGGGGTTGCCCATTGCAGTCAGATAATGAAGAATTTCGCCTGAGGGTAGTCAATCTGTGGAATTCTTGACTGTGGATGGCTATCAAGACTGGGTCAGTGTGTATTTTTAAGGCTGAGTTAGACAGATTTTTAATTACTAAGGGAATCAACAGTTATGGGATTAGAGAGTTATATTCTCAGCCATGATCTATTGAATGCCGATTGGACTTGATGGGCTGAATGGCCTACTTCTGCTCCTAAATCTTACAGTCTCTGGCAGGTCGCAGAAAACCTTTTCAAAGTGATAGGTTTTAAGGAACATTTTAAAGGGGTCCGCAGGTGTTGTGGTTTAAGGAGGAAATCCCAGCACTTGGGACCTAAGCAGCAGAAGCAGTCATGGAGCGATGGAACCTGGGGATGCTGAAGAAGCCAGAGATAGAGGAACATACAGATCTCAGTTCTTTTCGGTAGGACTAGAGGAAGTTACAAAGACAGGAAGAAGTGAGGCCTTGGGGACAGTTAAGCATGAGTAATGAGAATTTTAAATTTGAGTCTGCATTGTGTATTATGATGAGAGAAAGAAAAGGATCATCTGAGGCAATAGATGAAGTGCTGATGAACTGGCTTGGATGCTACCTTCAAGGCGATGGAATTTGGCATCTTGTCTTTGTAATTGATACATATCTCAATGTTGGAAAGTATTGGATTTCTTCCTGACTGTAAATTATCAGAAATAAAATTAAGATTTAAACACCAAACACTTTGATCTAATTTTGTTCGTATTGCCCCTGAACATTTATTCCCCAGGGCTGTCTTAAAAGACAGAATGCAGAAGTTCATCTGTTTAAGTAAAGGAAGTGAAGTAGTGTAATATATTTTGATATTATCTAGTGAAATATGCTGTAGAAATTGAACAGTTTAACTACTTTGTTACATATTAATTCCTTGTATTGTAGAGTCTCGTTGTAGAGTCAACCAGTCATAATGATTCAAACCCATTGTCCCTTCTTCTAATGTTAACTTAATTCACCATTTAAAGATATTAAAGAATTATGTGTGTAAAAAAAAAACACAAGTATTCGGGTTTGGGTCAACAATACATTGGTTTCTGCTGTTGTACTATAGATGTAGACCAGTTAGAGTCGCTTCACAGAAAAATAAGACATTCTAACAGTTTTTTAAAAGAGCAATTACCATTTCAGAAAATGTCCAGAGCCCTCTGAACCTGTAAGTTGTAACAAAGCAAGGGTATCGTTTATTGAGGGAATGGGCTCGATGGACCAAATGGCTGTTTGTCACTCCATGTTATATTGCTTCCATGCCACGTACTCCAGTTCTATAAGTTCTTTTTTATTGGGGTTCATGGGACATGGGTATTGCTGGCTAGACCAGAATTTATTGCCCATCACCAACTGCCTAGAGGGCAGCTAAGAGTCAACCATGTTGCTATGGGCCTGGAGTCACATGTCGGTCAGACCAGGTAAGGACAGCAGTTTCTTTCCCTAAAGGACATTAGTGAACTAAATGGGTTATTTCAGACAATCAATAGCAGTTCCATGATCATTGTTAGTTTCTTAATTCCAGACTTCTATTGAATTCAAATGCCACGATCTGCCATGGCATGATTTGAACCCTGGGTCTCTGGATTAATATGATAATACCCCTAGGCGATTGCCTCTATGCTCCTCTACTTGTGGCCTCTTGTTCTTTCCTAAAGTTAATGTCTTCTTTATTTGATGGCTATGCCTTCAGCCAACTCAGCCCTCTCATAAAAGCTCATTAACTCTCCCCTTTAAACTCCTGTTCATAACCTAATTCTTTGACTACTTCTCCTAATATCTCTTTATATGACTTATTATGGAATTTTATTTGGTAAAAATCCTGTGTTGCTGCTTATGTAAATGCAAGTTATTATTATTGTTATATCATTCTACATAATAAAGACACTCTGAGTCACAGTTGAAGTTCCCGTAATAACCAGGGGAGGAGCTCAAGTCATAATGAATTCATCCAACTATATAGTGTAGAGTAAAATGGTTCACTTTATGACAAAAGTTGACATAGAAAATTGCTGCATTTGGGCAGGACTTAAATTACTTATGCCTTCTGATGATGGCATGATATTAAGTATCGATTTTTCCAATTTGTTGGCCGATCTCACAAATGTGATGATGTGCTGAACTTAACCATTTGAAGGAAATATGCTTTAGTTTTAAGCTGGTTATGATCTCTTCCTGAGAAACAATGCTTCTTTGTCAATTTTACAGGATTGCTGAGTAAACCCGGCCACAGGCAAGATTTAAGTATGCCGGTCCTTGGACACAGAATAGGAACCTGCCTGCTCCTGGCCTTTGTAGCAGTGACAACTCATTTCATCAGCAAGGCACAGGGTCAAGGTAATTGTTGACAAGATAAAATAAATGTTTAAGAAATCCCTCTGATGTGCAGATGTGGGCAGATCACTTGATTTATGATCTTGCAATCTTCCATAATACATGGTACATGTTAATTTTATTTGTTATGACCATGCTTTTTAAAGTCATTCATTAGTTCATTGAAACAGAAGATGTGGGATAATGATTAAAATATGCATTAATATATTAACAACGTAAAGTTGTAATTAACTCTTTTTGTGATGATTTCCAATATGCACAGCTTGATTAACTCATTGTCTGATTGGAATAATGGGTAATCATTTCATTTTTACAACCTTCCTGTAAAGCTGTAGAGAGTGCATATTTCACTTCCAAGATGTGTTTTCATTCTTGCATGTAAGTTACAACATTCAATATTATTTTTACAGTAGAATTTTTACACAATCTTGTGTCACATTTTTTTTCAGATCAGGATATCACAAGTATTTGCAGCACCTGCCATTTGAACCTGCCTCATATCTGAGTGTCAGCACTTAATAAACCTTGAACTCCATTTACACTTGCTCTTGTAGACACAGGCTTTTCCTTTGCTTCATCACAACTTGTAACATAAGACTGCAGCTAGGTTCTGATCTAACTGGAATGAAAGGGTCAGGTTGGATCCTGCCTTTGAATTAAATACAATAATTCAGCTGCTGCTGTGGAGTACAGTTGAGGTAGAAGGTCAGTTGTGATTCTGTTGATGAGTGTGTGTGGGCTTGAATGAGCCGTATACCCTACTGCTGCTCCTATTTATTATGTTCCAGTTTGCAATGTGAATCTGCTTCAGGTTGCTGTAGTACTGGTTAGACTCCTGATACCTTAACAAACCATTACTTATGGAAATAGAGCCCTAATTCCACAAGTATTCCACAAGCACAGTAACAAAATAACATTCTATGGTTGCATCGATTGGTTGGTTAGGCTGAATTGTTTAAAGATTATTAATATTTATACTTTTCAGCTGTAAATCAACTACATGTTGAAAATAAGATTGCAATGTGGTAGAAATAACATTTCAGCTATTGATGGTGAATGTAATTCACTCGCAGTATGATCAATATGGATGGATGAACTGTGGGGACAACATAAGACTTTAAGACCACCTGTTGGCTCACAACATATTGAACTTTATTTTGCACCTCTCCTCCTAATGGCAGACCTCTTAAATTATTGAACAGTCTGCTGGCTTGAGAGCACTGAGGCTGCAGAAATAGGAGAGCTTACTTGTCTCCTTGAGATTTTTAAAATAAGAACCTCCTGTCACGAGGATACAGTGACACTGTGTCTAGTGGTTGCCACGCTGTCATAAGTATTGCCCTTGGGAAGTACCAGTTATTGGAAACATAAACCAGCATGGTTTGATGCTGATATAAGGTTTCTCTCTCTGTTCCCGACTAATCTATTATTCTTGTCTGGCAAACGCAGCAATTTTTGAAAAATTTCATAATTTCCTGCAACTGGGGTCATGCACAGTGATATACAAGGAAGCATCATTCAGTGTTATGGACAGTAACCTTGCTGGTGCACTTTATAGAATCATCTTAGAATGAAACAGAAAGAACTATTGTTCCTGTGCTTGACCTTTGAAAAAGCTATTCAATTCACACTCCCCCGCTCTTTCCCCATGACTTAAAAACTTTTCTTTAACTACAGTGCAATAATACACAAATATTAAAGTGTAAAATTGAGCTTAATTACAATTGTGACTGTGTTTTGGCAAAATCAGATTCAGAAAAAAAGTATAGAAAGTAATAGCTGCAGTCTTTCAGCTCATTGTGCGGCACTAGTTCCATTAACTGATGCCAATTTCCTGCCTTTTCCCCATATCCCAGCACATCATTTCTGTCCAAATAATCATCCAATGTTTTCTCGAGTATCCCAAACAAACCTGCCTCCAACACACTTCCATGCAGTGTGTGCCATTTCCTAACTACTTGCTGTGTGGAAAAGTTTTTTCTCCCATTAACCTTGCTTCGTTTGCACATCACTTTAAAGTGATTAAATTACCATAAGAATTTCATTACCTTCTGGTCACTTTCACGTAATTTGTGGCTTGCACTTCTAACTACTTGTTAGCTGCTCATCTGGACTAGTCTGAATTCTTCATATTTATCTTTAGATTTTGCAAGAGAAATATCCAACAACATTTTCTCTTTAATATTTGTCCTTAATATAAATGCATTCCCTGAATCTAAGACCAAAGTAAACTCTACTCTGATTATAAGGCATTAAAGTAAAGTAATTATTTTGGAGGTCTAATGACTTGAAAATGCATTTTGTTCTACTAGCTCAAAAGGAAGTAATCAATACAAAGTCTGCTTTTTTAATAAAATGGTACAATATTGGATTTTTTTGCACTGGGAGATTTTTGCTGCAGTAGAAATATTATCGTTTGCATGGTTTAGTTACATGGTAACATGTTCAATTAAACATACTGCTGGTTGCTTTTGTAATTTAAGAATAGCTTCAAAATTCCTGCACAAAGTTCTTAAAATGTCAAGTGATATATTTGGACATCCTTCACAAAGTTCTTAATATGTTGAATGATGTATCTGGGCAATTTATAGGGTAAAGGTTAAATTGCCAAAAGGCTGATCTCTCATTAGAGAGAAATGACTGGTGGTGGTTTAACCTGAGGGTCACCACACCTCAGGCAAGGGTAAAGGTTGGAAAGGAGATTCCTTCAAGATAGCCTCAGCTGGTCCACGAATTGAATCCACGCTGTTGGCATCAGTCTGCATCGTAAACCAGTTGTTCAGCCAACTGAGCTCACAGAATTTATAGGATAATTCTGCTTGGAAGCAGTTAGCTGTGTTCCTAGGTGATTTTGCTAAGTAGAACTCATTTGTATGAAGAACTCATGTTGTATGAATTACGATCACATCAGGTAAGATGCTTAGAACCAACATGCATTCATAACCCATAAAGTGTTTGCTTCAACATGTAAATGAAGTGTTAGAGGTTGTAACAAATACAAATAGTTATTTTAATGAATTTCAACTGGAAATAAAAGCTTTACCAAATTTTTCAAGTGGTAGAAATGGACTGCAGAGGTTTAAGAAGGCAGCTCACCATGATCATCTCGAGGGCAACTAGGAATGGGCAATAAATGTTGGACTAGCCAGTGACATCCGCATCTTATGAATGAATTAAAAAACAATAAAATGGAGATGCAGCAACTTTTGCTGTTTTAGATTAGGAGTCTCATAATTCCCAGAAAATTCTACATCTTCTTGTCCAGCCAGTAAATTCTTGTTGGTTTCACATTTTCTTTCCCATGTTACACCTTTTCCAACATGTTTTTAAACGTGGGCCACAATGCTGTTGTTTGTGGCAAATTAACAGGAAATTGTGACGTTCTTCAAGTGAATTAAATTCTTTTCAGCTGTTTCACATCTCCTAATAATATTAAACTTTCTTTATTGCGACAGCCATGGCATAAACTGGCATGATACTTGGAACTTAGCCGATAACCTTCTAAGTTGATTGCCAAGTACTCCCTCATTCCAGCTGAAATCTGTAGTCAAAACAGCTGGGTGCATTAAATTGCAAACTTCCAAGTGTCGGCCATTTAGTGCTTTGCATTGGTGATTCTAATTAAATGTCATTATGCTGCTCCTTGGAAAGACCTGTGGAAAACAGAGAAAGAACACAATTCAGCCAGTAAATGTAATTCTTTCATGACCTTGAAGCTACAAAAGTACCAATTTCCCACCATGAAGTAATGTTTTGCACAGTCTTTTATCAGAAAATTACATTTATTTTGAACATTTTAAGTAGATCTGTATTGTGCAATTAATTAATTCTGTATCATCCAAGGTCACAGGTCTGTTTCTTGCGTCTGCTTACAACAGATGAGCATTTTCAACATCTAAACACTTGCCGCTTTACATAAAATGGATCCTGTTTTGTGTACTCAATTAGACTTCTTACATTCAGGTTTGCAACAAATGCAAACAGTTATCTTTAGGCACAAGTATGGACCTTGGAAAGATAATTGTAGGAAACCACCCTTTGTGTCAGATTAATAAAGATGCCTCCCTTGACAGAGCAGTAGGGCTGCATTCCTACATAATTATTTTTCTTTCAAAAAGAACCATTTATCTCTTAAACCTTCGATAGTCTTGGGGCATTTTTTTTCCTCGTTCAACATTTTAATAAAGCTATGGGCTTCTCAGCTGGGTTTTGCACAGACCCACACTTTATAATTGCGCATTTCTTTTGAAATGAATCATTTTTATTGTCCATTTTGACACCCAAGTTTCAACCCAAATTTGTGTTGGCTCATAATTTTTAATTTGGGGGGAGCAAGATTTTTGCTGCATGGATAATAAAGTACAACAGAAAAAAGGTGCCATCTTCAGGTTGGTGATCACATAACTATCATTTTTGTCTTGTTTTGTCTGTGTTGGCACTCATCGTCCACTGGGGTCTTGGCAGGAAACAAACAGCTTTGTGCCAAAATGCTTCTCTGCACTAAAATAAATCTCTTCTATATGGAATTCCTTATACCTACTTCTAAAAATACCGTGTGGAAACCTGGAGATTGTTGATAGACGCAATGATAATTTTACTGCTTAAGGAAATAGCTTGGAAATTATTTGCTTAATAAACTAAGATGCTAACTTTACTCAATGAATCAAATTCTTAGTCGGCCACTTGTCCTTACATGTTTCCCCTAGTGTTGACAGGGGGTATCAGTTTAGTTGCCCTGTTATAGGAAGGATATTATTAAACTGGAGAGGTTCAGAAGCGATATACCAGGATGTTAGCGAGAATGGAGTGTTTGAGATATAAAAAAATGGACTGGACAGACTGGGACTTTTTGCACGTGAATGTAGGAGGTTGATTGACAAAAGGTGAGGTGAATGACAAAAGTCTTTTCCCTAGGCTGGGGAGTTCAAAACTTGAGGACATATTTTTAAGGTGAGAGGAGAAAGTTTTATAAAGGACATGAGGGGCAACTTTTTTACACAGAGAGTGGTTTGTGTGTGGAATAAACTGCTGTATAACTCTATAAATGTAAACTAGGCATGCCCAAACTTGTAACACTTTGTACAATTAAATGTTGGGAGTCTTGGCATGCACAGTTTGGAAGAGTGCTTCATGTTGAGAGACGTCTTGAGAAATCGGTGCCCTGTAATTTTTGAGTGAAAGAAATAGGATGTGAAGCCTTGGAGGTTAAACCGATGACTTTCTAATGTTAAAGCTGACAAGATAATAACTGTTACTGTACTAAAGATGCTTTTTTATTAGAACACAATGGTACAATGATCCCTCAATTGGTTAAAAATTGGGAAAGTTCTACAAAATGTTTTCACCAACTTAATGCCCAGACGGTGAACTACAATGACATATATTTATTTGAATCTTTAAAATGATAGAACCTGCAAGGACTTTCCCAGGAAGGATAAAGCAAAATTAGGCACCGAGACATATGATGCAACTTTAAGAGATAGTAGGAACTGCAGATGCTGGAGAATATGAGATACCAAGGTATAGAGCTGGATGAACACAGCAGGCCAAGCAGCATCAGAGGAGCAGGAAGGCTGACGTTTCGGGCCTAGACCCTTCTTCAGAAAATGATGCAACTTTAAGTTGGCTGACCAAAAGGTCAACCAAAACTTTAGGTTTTAAGGAGTGACTGAGGGTGGAATGGTGGCTCAGTGGTTAGCAGTGCTGCCTCACAGCACCAGGGACCAAGGTTTGATTCCATCCTTGGGTGACTGTCTATGTGGAGTTTGCACATTCTCCCCGTGTCTGCATGGGTTTCCTCTGGGTGCTCTGGCTTCCTCCCACAGTCCAAAAATGTGCAGGCTAGGTGGATTGGCCATGCTAAATTGCCCATAGTGTAGAATAGGTGTGTTAGTCATGGGAAATACAGGATTACAGGAAAAAGGGTAGGGGAATGGGTGTGGGTGGGATGCTCTTCAGAGGGCCATGGTGGACTTGTTGGGCCAAAGGGCCTATTTCCACACTGTAGGGATTCTATGGTTTCTGTGAGAGGAAGGAAAGAGATAGAGAATGACTGTGGTTTAGAGAAGAAATTCCAGAGGGGCCCAGGGTAGCTGAAGCAATGGCCACCACTGGTGGAATGATTAAATTCATGGATGTGCCAGAGGCCAGATTGAGTGCAGAAATCTAAGGATTGTGGGGCAGTGGAGGGGTGAGACTACAAAGGGGTTTGAGGAGAAAGGATGAAAATTGAGTTGTTGCTGGACTATTATCATATTTACTAATCTATTAAAGATCAGTTATGCCAGTCGACACAAGAGATATAATTAAATAGTTAGCACACGTTTTGTTCTTATGCCCTAACCTTCTGAAGAAGAGTGCAAAGACCTCAGTGTTATTTGCGTGTCACGTTCTTAGGTACCTGTTAGAATTTCCATGAAGTAACTAAAATCATTGTCCTGACTTTTCTTTAGAGTAGTCTTGGCATGTTTACAGTACTGTGATGGTTATAGGCTTGTATGGGCTGAACATTCACATACCACAAAGCCCTGGAAGACAGAACACAACATGTCACTCTTAAGCATTCTGAACTGCAGAGCAAACTGTAGAAAAAATTCCACTTTGAGTTTATGTAATTCATCTATTTCCTAATGAAAAATTTCATTACAAATCATCTTAAGGATGACGTACTAACATCTGTACCAAAAATAATTTTGTTTATGATTGGTAGCTATCAATAACACATCTAGTTAAGCATAGTTGTATTTTGGCACAAAACCATTAATTTTTGTATCTTGTTTCAATACTTGATGCCTTGCATTGTCTGTTGATTTTATTTTTTTTAACAAGATCAAGGGTCATAGCTGGGAAGCACGCAAATTGCCAGGCGCTTGGAGCTGTAAACTTCCCCGGTTCTAAAGTGTACATTTGGATCTGCACAATCTATGACTTCACTGCAGCACAAAGTCTCTGCCTAGTTATGACCCCTGAATTTGGCCATGGGAATTCAACTAATTGAACTGTTCAGGTTTCTGGTGATGGATAACAAACTTGTTCCTGCTGCTTCGTCCAATGGGCAAGCCTTCAAAAAAAAATGGAAGGAGCAGTGGAAGTTTAGTTAGAATTTCCTCACCTTCCATTAAAGAAGAGGAAATACTTGAATAATTGGACAATTCTTATGGATTCTATGTTTGGTGGCGGGGGAAATGGAAAGTGTCTTTATGCATTCTGGCGCCACACAAGCGCACCTTGCTTTGACTTTGTCTTTGTCTTTGTCTTTTTCTTCCACTGTGTAGATCAATGTAGAAACTATCTGAGGGGATAACCTGCTTGGAAAGTAGTTTCTCATTGTTCAAACTAATACAGTTCTTTGTAGTGTGTTTGGGACCAGGGTTCTACGCTGCAATATGACTGATTAAATAGTGTATTTTTGCACTTAATGAGTTGATTAGAATTGGCATTACTGTGAGCACTGTGAGTAGATTTGAACATTTCAGCTTTTTTCATAGGATTTGCAAGCAGTCAAGCAGCACATGTAGTTTAGAACCCTGGTAAATACTGTGCTATTTGTAGTTGAAAGTGCGTAATTCTTCATTTTAATGAATGACTGACTGCCTGCTTTGTTGATTTGTCCTTGAATTATTGGCCTTCATGTTCTGTTATAATGATGACGATGGCTGTTTCAAATGTTTAATTAATTTTTCTTTTTTTTGTACATCTTGTAGTTGCCTCTCCAACGCGATTAAAGTTTACTATAGTGTCTCAGGACAGTGTTAAGATTACGTGGAAAGCTCCGAGGGGAAGGTTTCAGGAATACAGGTTAACTGTGACACCAGTTGTAGGTAAGAATTTTTTATCCTGAATCTTAGAACATATTGCATCTTTATCCAAACTTTGCTTTGATTTGGTTTGGTGGATTTCTGTCTGTGAAATTTGTTTAAAATGAAATTTGTTTTAAAAGGATGTTACCTCCCTGGACCGACCTATCCCCTCCCTAACTCCCCACTTACACTCACCTTTACTGGCTCCAATCCCGCCTCCTTGACCTGTCTGTCTCCTCTCCACCTATCTTCTCCTTTATCCATCTTCTATCCACCTCCCCCTTTCTCCCTATTTATTTCAGAATCCCCTTCCCCTCCCCCATTTCTGAAGAAGGGTCTAGACCCGAAATGTCAGCTTTCCTGCTCCTCTGATGCTGCTTGGCCTGCTGTGTTCATCCAGCTCTACACCTTGTTATCTCAGATTCTCCAGCATCGGCAGTTCCTACTATCTCTGTTACTTGCATAATACTACTCATTTCATTCAAACTTGTATTTATACTTGGTTCTAGCAGGTCATACCATGTTTATGCATTGCCATGACATTTCCTTCTTTAAAAAATACACAGGCAGGTTTTATTTGAAAAGGCCAAAGGTAGGAAAGTCTGAGCTGAGTCCCTCAGTGTTCAGAGAAAAATAATCTAAGATTTTAAAAAAAACATGAGCCCTGTGGAGTAATTTTAATCCAATCTGCCCACCAGGAAACTGGGTGTACTGCTGCTTTAAAATCCCAGATCAGTTTACTCTGGATTGATGACCATATTGGATAAAGTGTCAAACTATCTTTCCAGCCATTCCCGCCTGGAGATTTAGACTGAAATTATACTTCAAGCCTTTTAAGTAAATGCATCCTTTGATGGGTGACATTTCTGAACAGCAGTCGGTGTGGGAGGTCAACGATAGGTGTTGGGAGTGAAGTGAGAGGCAATCCAGGGTTGTCTATCTCTGGTAAACGCCTACCAGCATCTGAATATTTACAAAACAACTTTGGCTTTCACTTTTTAAATAATAGCTTCTTTCTGTCAAAACTTAGTAAAGAATGACGACCAAAAAGTGCTTTTATTGGGCAGCTTTCCAATCCGTGATATTGGAAGATAATTCCAAAGGCTAAAAGGTCTGCTGTGATAGTGATTAATATTTGGAATGATATTGATTTCAAGCGTCAAAATAGGCCATTCAGCCCAGCTGGCAAGTGCTATTTTATATTCTCCACACAAGTCTTCTCCCACCTTACTTCAATTCACTCTGTCAACATATCACACTATTCCTTTTTGACTTATCTAGGTTTCCCTTAAATGCATCTATCCAATTTATTTTGACAATGAATTTAGTGTAAAGGGTTAACGTGAACCAACAGGAGAAGTGATGCAAGATCACATGACTAAGAACACTGGTGCCATTTAACTCCTTGAACTTGCTGTGACATTCAACGTTACGGCTGATCATCTACTTTGATGCTATATTACCACATGATCCTCTTATCCCTTGATGTCATTACTCATTAGAAATCTTATCAATCTCTGTCTTGCGCTTAATGACTAAACTTCCTGGCCCTCTGGGGTAGAGAATTCCAAAGATTCTTCTCTCTCTAAAGAGATTCCTTTTCATCTCAGTGTTAACTATCTCACCTGTTATTCTGATACTGTGTCACCTGGTTTTGGGCCCCCAAAGCTCGAGCAACATCCCCCTTTCTGCATCTTCTCTGTCATATCCCTTTAAGAATTTTGTAAGTTTCTATGAGATCACTTCTCATTCTTGTAAACTCTACAGGATACAGGCCTATTCTTTACAATATCTCCTCATAGAACAGCCCCATAACACCAAAAATTAGTCTGGTGAGCCTCCATTACAATCCCTCCATGACAGTTCCTCAGGCGAAGGGACCAGAACTGCAAAACCATTCAACATGTGCAGTTTCACCACTGTTCTATACAATTGAAGCAAGACATCTTTGCTCCTGTACTCAAATCCTCTTGTAATAAAGACTACATACCATTTGTCTTTCAAATTGCTTAGTGCACCTACATGCTAGCTTTTGTGAATGAAGACACTTTGGTCCCTATGGATATCAACACTTCCCAATCCCTCACCATTTGAGAAATACTCTGTACCTTTGTTTCACCTACCCAAGTGGATAGCCTCAAGTTTATCCACATGATGTTGCATCTTCCATGTTCTTGCTGACTTGCTCCTCTAGCATCTTGCCCACACCCAAAAGAATAACTTACAGCCACTGTGTGAGATCCTTCACCCTAGCACCTGGGAGGCAACATACTATTCTGGAGGCAAGTCTATTGCCACAGAAATGTCTTTCTGCTCTTCTAACTGTTGAATCAGCTGCTGCTATTGCCTTTCTCCTCTTCCTTCACTCACTCGTGCAGCAGAAACACTTGTGATGCCACAAGCTCATTCTTGCTACATTCCTCTGATGAACCATTGGCCTCTCTAATATCCATAGTGGACAGCCAGTTAGTGAGTGAGATAAACTCAGGGGACTCCTACATTAGATGCGGTCTTTCTGTTCGATGTCTCCCTTCAGGAAACTATCAGATTTTCTATTGAATGTTACTTCTGAACCGGATTCCTCCACCCATTCAGGCAGTGCATTCAAGATCACAAAACGTGCCATGTCACTGAAAATATTTCCATCTGTCACCCCTGGTGTCTTTGCCGACATCTTTTTTGCTGTCCCTCTGGTTACAGACCCTACTGATACTTTAAACAGCTTCCCCACATTCACCATATCAAAATCCTTCATGATTTTGAATGCTTCTAAAGATTACTTCGCAACCTTTCTGCAATTAATTTTTAAATGACAATTTACTGTACAATTTGTGCATTGTGGTCAGGTCAAGTTCTTTCTATGTTATAATAGCATGCATCTGCATGCTCAGATAATAAATGAATGTTACCACAACTTTAGTATCACTATGGTTACCTAAAGCCTCAATGTTTTTTTCCAGGGTTAAGAAATATCAACCATTAACATTGCACTTCATGCATATGGTGCAAGTGCAGATTGTATCAATGAGAGCTATGTTCAGCTGCTATTAACTAACGTGGTCAGTTTTGCTTCAGGTAACGTAGCTCAGTGAAGCAATATATCTTGGTGTTATCTAGTTTATGAGGTAGTAAACACTCCCGTGTACTGATGGAGCAATGAATCCTGGGGCCACAGTCATCTGTGTGTAGGAGACAACTTTGATAAGTTGATGCTGGGTATTAAACCACATTTTCTGTGTTGAATTTGTGAATCATTAACTGCTTTAGGAATTTCTCTGTAAACTTCTATTTTGTGGATGACAATTGAATAGGTTTTGAACTCTTGAGATTAAATCTAGGGCAGAAATGAAAATAAATTAAAATACCACTTGGAACTCACCCTCACTCTCAGATGTATTTTGTAATGAAAATTTAACACACTCTTCAAAACATGATCTCAGCTTTGAATAGAGACTCCAAACATTGGCACAACTTCAGATAAGTACAGAAAAAAGTTGCTGTCTTAATAATTTATGCAGTTACTGTTGACTTCACAATCAGTGCCCAGTCTTTACTCCAGGCAGCTGAGATACAACTAATCTGCTGTTGATTCCATGAAATGCAAATTCTCATCCTTGTTTTCAAATTTCCCACCCATCCCCAACTCCCCATGGTTTCACCACCTCCTATCTCTGTGATCTTCCACAGCCACATACCCCTCTTGGACGTCTGTATTCTTCCTATTCTGGCCTTTTCCGTATTCCCAATTCCCAATGCTCCACTGTTGGCAGCCTTCAGCGACTAGGGCCATAAGCTCTGGCATTCCCTCCTCTCTGCCTGTCTCTCTGCTTTACAGATACTTTTCAAAATCTGCCCTTTTGGCCAATTTTTAAATCATATATCTGAAATTGTGCCAGTGTTTATGGTTTCTATTCAAAGCTGACATCATGTTTCAAAGACTGTGTTACATTTTCATTACAAGATACATCTAGAAGTGAGGAGGGTTCCAATTGGTATTTTATTTTGACCAATTATTGTGTCAAATTTTATCTGACAGACTTTTATGAAATCCCTTCAAGGAGTATTTCAGAGGAGACTTCCACGTTGAAAATGTTATTTCATGGTGGCCCTCTGACCAACGTTCATTGCTGTACAATGCTAACTTCTGCTAGGATTCAAAGTCAATAATCCAAAGGGATTGTCAGTGGGATCCTTATGCCCAAATCTAGTTTCCTTGCATGAGAAGCAATAAGCCCAGCTTTGAGAGCAGCATGAGGCAGGTCTGCCTTGGAACACTGTGCTGGGATCACAGTCACTACTTATTACACTGCTGTGAATGGAAACAGAGGCCACTCAGCCTGTTTAGCTATTATATAATTCTGTTAGGTCATGGCCAAGCTTTTTTGAGCTTGACTCGATCTTCTCACTTTGTTTCCATTAACTCTTGATACTTTCACTTATCAAAAATCTATCCCTTCACTTTTTTGCATTTTCAGTTGACTCCTGAATGCGCAGAAAATGTTCTACTTGTAATGGGGCCCTAAAACTAGGGGCCAAAAATCAAGATAGTGACTAATAACGACAATAGGGAATTCTGTTACAATTCTTTAGAAGGGGGTGGTGAGAATGAGAAATTTTCTGTCACAGGGATGGTTGAGGTAACTACTGCAGATCTGTTCAAAGGGAAGCTGGAAAAAGGTGTGAAGGACAAAGGAATCAAAGTATGTCCTGATAGGGTGAGACGACTGGGAAGAGACTTAAGCATAAACACAGAATAACCTAATGGATTGATGGCCTGCTTTGTGGTTTACAGCTCTGTGTAAGTGAGCCACTGACTGCATTATTATAGTGGTGAGTGGAGCCACATATAAATCTGTTATCCATTCATTATCCTGTTTCCTGTATATTGTTGAGCACATTTATGCAGAAACTCTTTGAGGGAATTGACTTTCAAAGCACCCAGATGTTTCTCTTGAGTGAACTAATGCATATCCCAGTTTATTTAACACAAGATCCTGGTATACCTCTGTTAAACATCTGAGGAAAATTTTCAGATGGGAACCCCAGGGTGTTTCCTGCTTAATAGTTCCTGAGTTGTTGGGATGGGGGAAATTGCTTTTGATTTGGAGACAGTGTGGAAAGTGCATTAATTTGCTTCCTAATTGTTAAGAGTTGCATAGAATATAGACTCTTTCCTGTTCATTAACTCACTAATTGCCCAACTTTTGATCTGGGATAAGTTCATCTTGTAGCTACTGGTTTGTGTCACTGACGCAAGCTCCTCGAGTTCTTCACCAATGATACAATTGGGTGGGCAGGACTGTGAGCTTGATCAATGGTAAAAGGCTCATAGCATCAGTAGAAATTTTTCCACGGTGCTAGTTTTAATTTCCTATTGATTTGGAAAATATTTCCAAGACTTTTAATTTCAAACCCGGTAAAAGAGACTCAGAAAACCAATCTTCAAAGGGAGTGTGAAATATCTTTCCGCGACCATCAGTGAAAAACTGTCGGGATGCAGTGAGAAAAAAAATCAGCTTCCAGTTTTCTTTAAGCTCATTCCACACTGCTGCAGACCATTTAATTGGCAAGAACTGACAAGAGTTACATAAAGAAACTTTGCTCCCTTTCCAACTCATGTTCATTGATTCATTCTTAGAGAAGATTCCTCAGGGTATCAAAGCAATAAAACTAGCAACACCAGCTAATGAGGCCATAACAAGTGCAAACCAATCACTGGAGTTAATTTTCAGATGGATAAAGTTTTAAAAAGCATTGAAACTATGATTCAACTGAACGTTTTTGATCATAACTGGTCACTGTCTGTCAACATGGTTTTAGAGGCTCCAGACTCAGTGTAGAAGAGACTTACAGGAAAAAAACACCAAGAGATGATATCACTTTCAGGAAAGACTGAGCAGTGGGGTCTCTTTTGTGAGGGATGACCTATCACATACCTTTAATTTTAAAGAGTTTTTGATAGAACAAAGAAGGTATTTCAACTCCTGAATTTAGGGAGCATGAGTGTAAAATAAATCCAATTGGTAGTTCAGCAGAATGCTGTTCACAGAAAATGGTGAGAATGTAAATCTTGCTGCCACAGGAAGTATTCGAAACCAATAGCAGGTAGAAAAATTTGAGAGGAAGTTGGAAGTACGCAGGGGAAAAAGAAGGATATACTGATAGGATGAAATGAGCTGCATTAGCAGCCTTCACCACAATAACAGGCAACATTGTGTGCCATCTGCAAATGCACTGCAGTAAGTCACCAAAGCTGCTCCTGTGACATCCTTTAGACCTGTGACCTTAACCACATGAGAAGACATGGGCAGCAGTTAAATGAGAACGCCACTGTCTACAATTTTCTCTCCAAGTTGCATACCACCCTGACTTGGGATCTTGTCGCCGTTCCTTCAGTATTGCTGGGTCAAAATCCTGGAATGCCATCTCTAACAGCACTGTGGGTATTCCTGCCTTCAAGGACTGCAGTGGTTCAAGAAGGCAACTCACCATCAGCTTGTCCTGGGCAATTAGGTTTGGGCAATAATTGATGTCCACGTACTGGTTATGAATTTAAAAAGGTGGAAAGAGAATTGTGTGGAGCATAAATATTGGACTTAGCTAAATGGCCAGTTAGTGTGCTGTAAAATTTGATGTAAAATTACAACAGATGAGCAAATAGATGTTTGGGGTTCTCTGCATATACTACATCACTGTTAATCCACATCTATGATTTCCTGCATTTAGTGAATGAAGGGAAAAAAAAGCTTAGTTGAATTTGAAGTTGTTGCCAAGTAAGAAAAAAACAACATTGCAAGAGAAGGAAGCCATTCAGCCACTTAAGCCTTTCCCTCCATTTTATTAGGTCCTGGCCAATCCCTTACATACCAAAAGTCTATCAATACTAGTTTTGAAATTTTTGATTGACCCTTTAGCCTCGGCAGCATTTTTGAAAGGCAGATGAGTTCCAGATTTCCACTACTCTTTGTGTGAAGAAATAGAGTCATACAGCACCGAAATAGACCCTTTGGTCCAACTCGTATATGCCAACCAGATTTCATAAACTGAACTAGTCCCATTTGCCTGCATTTGGCCCATATCCCTCTAAACCTTTTCTATCCATGTACCTGTCCAAATATCTTTTAAATGTTGTAATTGACTCACCTTTACCACTTCTGGCAGCTCGTTCTATATATGCACCACCCTCTGTGAACGCTGACATTATCCTGAGCAACCAGTCTCTAATTTTAAGCTCTTTTCTCTGAACTCCCCTTGACCAGATGCAATAGTGTCTTTGTATTGACCATATCAAATGCTTTGATCATCTTAGCCACATCAATTAGATCACTCCCTAATCTTCTGACCAGATGTTTCTGCTAGCCTTTAGGCCTGTTACAGATTAGATTCAATGACAGTTTATTATCCAGTAACAGTACTGTATTGGCAAACAGACACAGTCACACTCTAGACAGATGATGAAAATATGGTGCAGCAACTCCTCATGTTAGTTCCGTTCTGATGGTATTGGCCCAGTAAATCCTTAACTGCAAATCCTTTCATGGTCTCACCCCTTTCTGTCTCTATGATTTCCTCCAGGCTTAGGACCCTCTGAGAATTCCCCTTGCTCCTCCCAATTTTTATTGCACCACTATTTTTTGCCATGTCTTAAGCAGTCTGTTCTCTGAGCTTTCTCTCCCTGAGCCGCTGCCTCACTCTCCTTCTTCAAGGTCCTTCTTGAAAGCTGCTTCTTTTACTAAACCTTTGGTCACTTGCCCTAATATTTCATTAATTGGCTCAGTGCTAAATTTAGTTTGATAATGCTCTCGTGAAGCACCTTGGGTTTACAATGTTAAAAGTCACTACATAGATGATTTGATTTGGTTTATGACTGTCATGTGTACCAAGATACAATGAAAAGTGTTGTCTTATGTGCTTTTCAGGCAGATCATACTATACAAGTGCATCAGGGTAACAGAACAGAGTGCAGGATACAGCGTTACAGCTGCCAAGAAGGTGCAGAGAGATGAACAATAACACTTAAGGGATCAATTCAAATGTCTGATAGCAGTAGGGAAGAAGCTGTTCTTGAATCTGTTCATATGTGTAGATGCAAATTAATGTTGTGAATGGCGAAGCATTTTCTATTGTATTATTGCTAATATATTGTAAATATTGCACATGGTTTGTGCTGAATTCAGCTGAACTGTGGTCTGCATAACACTACTTTTTGTTTTTGTGTTGTGTCATATTCATTAACTGATGAGTTCTTTAGTCAGTTTTGCAAGAAAGTGCAGCAATCACAGATAAAGACAGCTTTGGATATTTATTCAAGTCTTGCTTCCTGAGGTAGACAACCAGTTTAATATGCAATGCTGTGGCTGAATGATTGAATTAATCTTACAGGCTAAAGCTATATTCCTAAGGCTACTTCATTGACCTGCATCTGTAACAGGCATTAATGCAGCCGAGTTAATTCATCTCTGAATGATCGAAATGCATTCTGCACTGGAAAATACTTGTGAAAGAACTGTTGTAACTCACCATTTACTGTTTCATTGCAAATTGGTTGAAGTTTTGTAATGATTAGTTGTATCAAATGGGTTAGACTTCTCTCTTTCAAGTGAACATAAAGTGCAGTTTTGGCTGCCATCTGCCTTTGTTATAAATCAGCCTCCAGCAATCTCCGTAAAGTTCTGTCTGGCAAGGAAAGTAACAACAAACTATGTTCAATAATCCAAGACTATAATTTAAGCAAGGAGTAGAGGAAGCGTTGTTTGTTCATGCTCTGATTACACTATGTCACCTAAAGGAATTCTGAGAGTTAATTGCAGAGAGTTAGCTGTAACACTCTGCTCGAGAGTTAACAATCACATTGACTTCTGGAAATCTGTAACTCTCTTCACCCAAAACCTGTTGAGATTGGGGCTTCAAGTGAAAAGTTAAAAACTGAGAATATTAGAATCTTTGTAGAAGAGGTCTTCCAGTTCAGTTGGTAGTGTCCCTGGTTCTGAACCAGAAGCTCTAAGTACAAGTCACACCTCTAAGGACTCAATAGCCAAAGGAAGTGTGTTCATGCTTATCTGTTTGATAATCAAATGGTTTAGGGCCCTTTAATAGCTTTCCCTTCTCACCTTAAACCTATGCGCTCTAGTTTTGGACTCCCCCACCCCAGGGAAAAGACATTGCCTATTTATCCCATCCATGTCCCTCATGATTTTATAAATCTCTATAAGGTCACCCCTCCGCCTCCAACGCTCCAGGGAAAATGGCCACAGCCTATTCAGCCTCTCCCTATAACTCAAACCCTCCAACCCTGGCAACATCCTTGTAAATCTTTTCTGAACCCTTTCTACTTTCACAACATCCTTCCTAGAGGAGACCTGGTCAGCCATGTGATGGTAAGTAATTGGAGTCATGACCATCAATATCCATAGCTTCAAGCTACAACATATGTATAAAAGTGTATGCTGCCATTGCAACTGGAACTCATTGGGCTTTAGTTGGCTTCATTGACTGGACACCTGATGTGGAGTAGATTGATGCCAACAGCATGGGATTCAATCCCTGTTCCAGCTGGGGTGGATTTGGGATTTGCCTCTTTGACCTACCTGTGATGGAGAATGCCGAGCCTTGAATTGAAACTGCCTTCAGGCAGAGAGCTCAAGCATAAGATGACTTTTGTTTGGCAACAATATTAATGGTTGGGGAACAGAGATGGCTCAATGCAGTTAAGAGGCAGATCAGCTATGATGAAAGAACCTAGAACAAGACCAGGCCATTCAGCCCATAGGGTCCTTCCAGCCATCCAGTTGACCATTGACCAATTTTTTTTTTACTTTTCTTGCAGCAGACTCATGTTTTGCATTTCTCTTTTAACAATTTTTGTTTATTTTTCAATAACAGGTGGCAAAACACAGAAATTGAGCTTACCAAAGGGTGAAGCAGCAGCAGTAGTGGAAGGTCTGCTCCCAAATCAGGAATACGTGGTGCAGCTATTTGCAATCGGCAGCAACAACAAAGAGAGTTTACCAGCTCAGGGGAAGTTCATAAGTAAGCATTTAACAGGATGTCTGTCAAATGTACCTTGTTATTTTTGTCAGGTGGTAGGAGGATGGGGAAATGATTCTGTGCAAATAACGTTTTGAATAGGTTGGTGGAATCATGTAGTATTGAGTAAATACGTGAACATATTAACGTAGCATATAAATTGCTTTCAATTTGTGTGACTATTCTAATGCTCCTCAACCACTGTGAAACCTCCATCCTTTTTAAACCTTAGCTGCAGTCCCTTGTCCAAACCTGTACTGAGTACCCATCATGACCTACATTGACTCCCAGTGTGGTAACATCTCAATTTTTAAGACTGTCATTTTGTTTTCAAATGCCCTTCATGGCCTCACCCTCTTCTTATCTCAGTAATCTCCTCCAATACTACAACCCTCCACAATATCCCTACCTTCCAGTTCTGAGCGTTTCAATGCTCATCTCAGGCCTATCCATATCTGATATGTTCTGTAATCTCAACTGGAGTATTGGGTTGAATCTTTCTTACGTTTTTTGGCTCAGTGTGAATTGCATTGAGTTTTTTTTTGGAGAGATTCTTGCCACAAGACCCACTGAGATTTCTCACTTACTCTTACCAAACTCAGCTCATTAACCTCGCCACCCCTATGGTGTCTCTTACGTTTGATTCTAACCCCATCTTACTTTGCACTGTTCCTGGAACAACTTGCCATTTAGCCAATATCTGCTGACAGAATGGCATACCTTATGCCACCTTTATAAAAGTCTGTTGCGCACCTGGACAAACACTCAGCTGGAGCTGTACTATACAGTTGCAGACATTTCCCTCAGGCATGGCTGACTGAGAGGGGAAAGTTGTACCCAGCTTTGCGGGCATGGACCTGGTGATCCTGCTGGACAGAGTGGTGCAGGCATGGGGCTTGCTGGTCCCTCGGGACACTCCACGTCCCAACCCACCCCACCACCACCACCACCTGCACCAAAAATAATCACTGTGCAACCCACTTTCATCTCCCTTAATATCTGCCTCTCTCCCATTCCACAAGGAAAACAGCCCACAATAGGGCAGAAGGAGTCAGAACAGGCAATGGGCTACCTCACCTCTTATGCGGTGAGTGCCCTGACTCTAATTGCCCTGAACGGCTGACTGATTGTGTCCAAGCCCCTGGACTAGTATCAGAGGCTGCTCCTGACTTACTGTGCTGGAAGGTCCTGAGTGAAGACTATCCTCCTTGACTTGATTGGGGCCTGCTGACAACCATGATGGGTTTCCTGCTTTGTGTCCCTGCTAAATGGCAAGGCGAGACATAAGTAAAATGAGCCTTGAAATGTGACGGTGCAGAGTGTACAAAGGCAAAACAATGCAAGGCAGGGATGCTGCGAGCATGCAGGTAGGTGCAGAGTGAGTGAACAGCCTGGAGATGCAGCCTGCCCATGAGCTGAGTTTGTCTCCCTGAGTGCAGGCTCCTTACTGCTGCATTATAATGATAGTTACCAATGCAGCATCGAATAGGATAAATGTCCTGTTGTTAAATCGTAGATGTGCCATCAGGGTTTTTGATGGCTGGTACATGTCAGATGCCAATGTCCATGGATGTGGGGTGCGTGTTTCCAGTTCCTGTGGAGCGTGCCCTGAGATGTTGGTAACCAAAGTCTAATATTTGCTCTGATTTCCACGTTGAGATTTCTCAATGTCTAGCTTGTTTAGCATGTTTGGTGAGATAGGAAGCTAATGAGGTGAGTTGTGTAATTCCCCCACAATTGGCAACTCACCGCTGCCTAGTGAGAAACGTGCCTCACACTTGTCGAAAACTAAAAAATGGTGTGAGATTCTCTCAATGTCAAATAGGCCTCTCTGGACTTTTTGTCTGATTCTGCCCAAAATTTCACCATGGCTAATGCCACTCACTGTGTTTAGTTCTGAGCACCATACTTAGGAAGGATGTCAAAGCCTTGGAGAGGATGCAGAGGAGTTTTATTACTATGTTCCATGGATTCAGTTATGCATAGAGACTAGAGAAGCTGGGATTGTTTCCCATGGATTGGAGAAAGTTATGCCTTGAGATATAGTAGAGATGCTCAAAAGTTTGAGGGATTTGGTCTTGTTTGTAACAAGAGGGCACAGATTTAAGACTTTTGACACAATGAAATGGTGGAAGAAAGCAATTCAATAAAAATTCTCGAAAAGAAATTGAATACATTTTGAACATTTGGAAAAAATTACTGACCAGGACTAGTTGATAATTAGGAAACATAGGAAAGGTTTTGGTAGACTAAATGAGGCAAAACTTTCCACAGGCACAAAGGTTAATAGAGTCATAGAGTCACACAGCACGGAAACAGATACTTCGGTCCAACCCATCCATGCTGACCAGATATTCTAAATGAACCTAGTCTCATTTGCCAGCATTTGGTCCATATCCCTCTAAACTCTTCATACTCATGTACCCATCCAGATGCCTTTTAAATGTTGTAATTGTACCCGCCTCCACCACTTCCTCTGGCAGCTCATTCCATGCACACACCACCCTCTGTGTGAAAAATTGCCCCTTAGGTCCCTTTTAAATCTTTCCCCTCTCACCTTAAACCTATGCCCTCTAGTTTTGGACTTCCCTACCCTGGGGAAAAAGACCTTGGGTATTCACCCTAGCCATGCCCCTCCTGATTTTATAAACCTCAATAAGGTCACCCCTCAGCCTCCGATACTCCAGGGAAAATAGCCCTAGCCTATTCAGCCTCTCCCTGTAGCTCAAACCAACTAAAGGACAGTGATTTAAGGGATGTAGAAATAGAACTGAAGGAGAGTTGAGGAGATATCTCATGTTGCAGTTTATGATGATTTGGAATGCACTGCCTGATTGGATGGCGGAAGTAGTAATTTTTAAAACCGAATTCCATTAATATGTGAAATGTAAAATAATTTTAGGGTTATGAGAAACAGACAATGGAAACTGGGACCAATTAGCTCCTTGAAAGAGCCAGTGCAGGAATGATGAGCTGAATGGTCTCTTGCTGTAGTGTACAGGTCTATGTTAAGTTGCTACAATTATTTTTTTTACCACACAGTGAAGGCTTCGCGAAGCAGAGGCAGACCAGGTTCATCTCACACACCAAAACACAAAAAGGAATCGGATTCCCGTGGCAGAGATAAAGCAACTAATGAAGGTAAACTTCATGGTCTTGAATTTAGTTAAAATGTTTGTCAGAAACGCTTTCCCAATTTAGACAATAAAAGGTTTTAAGGACAGAGAAAAATTAAATCATGTTTCATTCATATAGTAATATACAATTGCAGCCCGTATAATAGTGACAAACAGGAGATGTCCTTAAGCTCCTGCTTTCCTTCAAAGTATTGATTACACAGAAAGACACACGGGTGTGATACAGTAAAGTGAAACTTCCCAACAAAACAGACGCTTGCAAAAAGCAGACACTTACTGAGAGATTTGAGTAACTTGGGTGGTGAAATCTGTAAAGCACCCTGAAGCCATGCACACTCTCAAATTACGAACTGCAGACTGCCTTTATTTACTAAGTACCTGTTGCAGTTTAAAAGCAGCCTGCTGCAAAGTTCCTGTTTCTGGAATTTCCATGGAGTCAAGATCATTGGGTTTTCTCTTTGCTTCCTTCCTGGAGCCCTAAAATCCTGTTGGGTCAGTGAGAGGCGGCAATGAACTTTCATAAACGATAAAGTCTTTGTAGGATGACAGAGCTGTTTAGCCAGCTTGTAATGTGACAGAGGAACTCTGGTTTTCATGCTGGCTCTATCCTGGGGTTTGAAGACTTTCTCTGCCACAGTGGAGGTTGGGTGAGAATCCATAGAACCCCTACAGCGTGGGAACAGACTGTTCGGCCCAACAAGTCACACCAACTCTCCAAAGAGCATCCCACCCAAACACATTCCCCTACCCTATCCTTGTAACTGTGCATTTCCCATGGCTAATCCATCTTATTCACACATCCCTGGACACAGTGGGAAATTTAGCACAGCCAGTTCACCTAACCTGCACATCTTTGGACTGTGGGATGAAACTGGTGGACCTGGCAGAAATCCATGCAGACACAGGGAGAATGCAGAAACTTCACACAGACAGTCTCCCAAGGCTGGAATAGAACCCAGGTTCCTGGTGTTGTGAACCAGCAGTGCTAACCTCTGAGCCACCCCATCTTGGGCACTTAAGCTGTCCTCATCCTACTGAAATGGAGATAGGAAGCATTTTCTTCGATTTTTTTAAAAATTGATTTTAATTTCAATTTCAGAAAGATCTTAAATACAGCAGCCAAAAATGTTATATGGAGTATATGAGAATTTTTGCAGTGACCCTTTTGAAAGTAACATCTGCAAGTAATGACAGCTATTGGTCAGTCTCTGAGGTCTCACTAACTTACAACATTCACTGTACTTAGCTCGTCATATTTCATAACTGTCGGATTCCACTCTGACATTTCCAAATAACTTTTTTCTGTAAAATAGCAGCACCAGTGAACTTTGAATCATGATTAATCACAACCCCCTCACTATCTGGGCTCCCGGGACAAGTGGCACTTCTTTCACAGTTAGAAACAAGAAAAATGTCTTGCATATAGTGTATGAAAACTATTAGCTAAATTGCAGAAGCTACAGTTTTTAATGAACATCCCATTACTGCTTCTGCAAAATGTATAGCTTGTGTTATTTCCTAATGTTTTGGGATACAAATGGGTTGGATTGTTTTTTTTCCCCGTAAGTTTAAATCACCAATGATATTGTAAGTTATGACTTCTGGTATGAAATTTTGTAACTCTTGCATTCACACGCATCACCGTGATATTAAAGCCATTACCATCTTGGAAACAAAGACAGAAATTATTTTAAAAATTGCAGAAAATGTATTTTGGGTAACATCTGGTGTTTGCTGCTTAAAAGGCTGATGGAAGTGCAAATAATGATTTCAAAAGGAAATTGGATGGACATTTGAAGGAAATAAATTTGCTGGGCCATGGAGATTGAGCAGGTGAGTGGCATGGGATTTTTCTGCAGAGTTAACATGAGTTGATTGGCAGAATGGAAATTTTTGTAAAATAGCAGCACCAGTGAACTTGAATCATGATTAATCATAACTCCCTGACTCTATGACTATGGATAAATTCCCTCTACAAAGCTACCTGATATCAGCTTAGCTGGCACAAGTCCAGTTCTGTTTGGTTCCGTTCTCCATTGTTCCACAAAGAATCTCCCTTCTGAAGAGAAGACACAGCTGCTTTATCACCTTAGGTATTTAGCACAATTGGGGTTGTCAACTGTTCAAATTTGTCCTGGAATCTCTAGAAATTAAAAATAATTTTGCCTATTTATGTAACAAATGAAACAATGAAAGAAACAAATGCATGATGAAAGATACGGAACAGGTGACTCAGAAGCTTGCACTGACAATTGAAAAATCCTGTCATCTTTTCTGCAATTGAAGCCCTATCTGTACCATCAGGTCTTTGCAGGAGGATGACTTAAAGGTTATGACTGTGTGAGCTAGAATTATGGAGTGGTACAGCAGAAACAAAGCCATTCATCCCATTGTGTTTGAGCTGGTATCTCTATCATGTCTCATCTTAAGACTTGATTGGTTTAAAGTGGAATTCAACTTAAACTGATGAGGGACAACCTCTTTTCAAAGTTTAAGTAAGAGGGGAGATGTGTGCATCTCTGTGATCTCTGTGAACAAAATATGCTGGCTTAGCCAACGACACCCACATCTCATGCGGTAATTTTTAAGAAAGGGCAGCTGGTGGGATGTGATCTTCTGCCATATTTCTGAGCTGCGTGATCATCACAACTCTACAGTGAGAAATGGTCAGGTGCCATCCATTAGAATGAGAACCACTAAACTGATCAAAACAATGTCTACCATCTGCTCAACTGACCTGCAGCAACCTCCTCCTGTCGTCTTTACCTGCTCTCCTGAACATAGTCTGGTTAGGATTTTAACTCATTCAAAACCCATTCCCCCACATGTAATTAAAATGAGCCCAGTATACTTGTTATGGGGGGAGAAACTGGGACATGGAATAAGCAGGAGATATAGCTTCCCAGCTGAGAATATGCAAGAAATTCTGCACATAAGCAGACACTGTTACTCTCCAGGTTGCGAATGAGTTCCGTTTTAGTCCTTTGGCAAATTGATTTGTGTGCAAGTTGGAACACAATGTAGGGCAATATAAAGCAGTTGTATTTAAGAACAGGAAATGTTTGTCTGTCAGATCTTTAAAATTACACCCCTGTTCATACGTACGAGTGTTTGTAAATTGGATGTTCATAAATTGGGACCCCTGTAATATGAGTCCAATGCATTTTATTAACCAACTATCCTGCTAATCAGTACACTTTCAACCACTTTGCTCGTCAAAATTACATTCTGCCACTTTCTGATGTTATCTAGCAAAATAATAATGTTACTGTAGCACAGGAACTGCCATGTGTTATGGTTTAACTGAGCTTTAAGCACTGCACACCACAAGTAGTAATTAGTAACTGGGAAAAGTGGTTGTAAACAGTGATATAAGTTCTAGAATTCTTCTGATTAAAACACTCAAACTTGACTCTTCTTTTCTCAACCCAGGATTGTACTATATTCCTGCCAGACACGTTTATTCAACTTGTTTTTATATATTTTTGCATCTTTGTTTGGTTTGGTCTTTGTATTTTGTTGTAATGATGTGCTTAATTAAAGCTTTCTTTTAAAAGGATACATTTGTGCTTATTTTAAGATGGTTTATATATATTTAAATATGTTTAACTTAAAGTGGATTATAGTGATCACACTATGCAATTTTTTAAAGAAAGAAGCATACAACAGAGGTAAGAGGAGATTAGAGATTGGATAGAAGAATTGTGGAACATTTGTCTCTGAAATCCGTGGCTTGGTATGTGTATGTGCACATATTTCTATGTGCGTCACATTTAATCAAAGCATCTGGTTTCATTGATTAATTTGTTCTAGGTAATCAACAGGTATCAACTCTGATTTTGATAATAGAAGGACAACTAACACAGTTCTTGTTTGATGCATTGACAATGACATAGCTATACCTTTTTCTTAGAAATACAATGGTGCTCACAACTAAAAGCAAGCCAAGGGAAATAACAATTCCCAAATCCTTCCTGTTGCAATTACATATGAACACACAATATAGGAGTAGAAGGGGACCATTTGAAGCATACAATAAGATCAAGGCTGATCTGTTTGTGTCTGAATTCCACATTCCCATCTACCCCAATAATCTTTGATTCCCCTGCATAATAAAAATCTATCATTAACTTAAAATTATTTAATGAATTCCAAAGTCATGCATCCCTCTGAGAGAAAAAGAAACTCCTCATCATCTGCTGAATTTCAAAGCAATGCTCCCTGTACTGAATTGATCCACAAGAAGAAACATTCTTTCCAAATCCACCATGTCAACATCATTCAGGATCTTATACCATTCAAGCATGTCACACTTCACACTTCTAACTCCAGTGCGAGCAAGCCCAGCCTGTCAAAGCCCATTTTCATAAGACAACCCACTCGTTACAGGTATCAATCTAGTAAACCTCCTCTGTGCTACCTTCAATGCATTAACATCATTCCTTAAGGAGACCGAAACTGCAGGCAGTATTTGAGATGTAGTCTTAACAATGCCTTGGTAATTGAAGCATAACATCTTTCTATGTTCCATTCCTCTTGTAATGAAGGATAGTATTCCATTAGGCTTTTTGATTACATGCTGTACATGTATGCTAATGTTTTGTGACTCATACACTGGAACACCTAAATTCCTTTGCACCTTCAAATTCTGCAACTGTTCACTGTTTAAGTAACTCAGTGCTTTCTTATTCTTCCTGACAAAGCAAACAGCTTCACCTTTTCCCACATTATACTCTATCTGCCAGATTTTTACTCACTCACTCAACCTATCTATAGCTCTCTTCAACTTCCTTATACATTTTTCACCTCCTACTTTCCTATTTATTTTTGTGTTGTCTATAAATTTAGCTACCTTGCCGTCAGTGCCCTCATCTAAGTCATTGATGTAAGTTGTAAAAAGTTGAGGCCCCAGCACAGACCCATTCAAGCCTCTATTCATTACCTCCTGACAATTAGACAAAGACCTATTTATGCATTCTCTCTGTTTTCTGTCAGCCAGCCAAT